GCAGGAAAGGCCTCGCCCTAGACCTGCACGTTGATCGCGATTGCACACACGCACACACACACGCACACACATACACACACGCTCTGTGTTGTAGTACTAACGGCAGAGTGCAGGGAAGAAAGCCGAGGAACTGACCTGCGCCGGCAAAAGTCTCGCAAAAGATTATCTGTCTCGTCTCTGGTTCCGTCGAGACAAGCGGACAGACAGACAAGCAAGACAGGTAGATAGACGGGTGGGCTGCAGGGTGTGCAAACTTTACATTATCATTACCTTAACGTTAACTAAGGAATTAACGTTATTACTATGACTTTTATTTTGTTAGTTAATGTTAGTATCACAACTATAATATGTTGAGTTTATTAACGTTAATTCTTTAGGGCGGCCATTAACGTTATTGAATTATCGATAATAGGTTATACCGAAAAAAACACGTCGTAAAACATTGTTGTTAAGGTTTATAACAGTTATGCAGAAATAACGTTAATATTTTATAACGTTAATGTGCACATAACAATTGTGGACTTTAACACAAAATTCGAGGTTAGCAAATAACGTTAATTATTTTAACTAAAATCATTCGTGGATTTCGTGGCACGCAAATAACGTTAATTGCTACAGTTACAATCGAGAATGTAATTGCCACCCCGCACTTTGCAAACGCAATTGTGCATGGCACGCTGTTCTGAACACTGTGCTTGTCAGGTACACAACAACAGTGTGTCTGACTAGGTCCTGCATGGGTCCTAGGTAGGTCCTAGGCACAATAAAACCCCCCGTCTCATGTCGCGAGGCACGGCCGGCACGGGAAATGGCTTCCACTGAATTAACGTTAATAATCGTTATGGTTCCTAACATTTAATATTGGTACATCTATCAATAGTTACAACTAATTAACGTTATGACACGATATCATAAGATTAAAAATAAACAATAAAATGCTACAAATAAAAACCCCTATTCTTTTAACATAAATTGCTCTGAAACTGGATTACCGTTATTCTTTTACCGAAAAGTAATTTGATAAACTTAAATTCGGTATAAAAAATAACCAGATAAAAGTTAACGTAAAATTTATGAGTGAAGTGAATAACGTTAAAGGACGAGCAAACACTTAAAGGTTACTAGTTATAACTTTTAACAAATAACTTAACGCTAACTATAATGATAATGTTATGTTATTACACCCTGGTGGGCTGCACAAATTAAAAGTGCACCCATCCTCCGATCGAGATCGGACCAGCTTTTCTTTATCAGGCGAACGCCATCGGAAAGCAGTGTTTGGAATTGTAAATGAAGTCGGGCAACGATAAGGCGTCGGCTTTTGCCAAATCACGGCGTCTTTATGCGGAGGGGTGTCCGGACCGTCCGGACCGCACAGTGGGCCAGAAGACCGGCGGAGGCGGCCAAAATTCTGGACGCGTTTTGAGCTCCAGAGTCGCTAAACAGGCCTCGAACCGAACGTGTGACCCCACCAATGGATTCCTCGTTCGGAGAGCAATCCATTGGTGGGGTCACACGCTCGGTACGAGTCCCATTTAGCGACTCTGCAGCTCAAAACGCGTCTAGAATTTTGACTGCCTCCGCCGGTCTTCTGGCCCACTGTAGGCCGTCGGGACGCACACAAAGCGGGCGGCAACGGCCAAGGCAACGGCCCGCCGTGGAAAAAGGTGCATCACGACGACGCGGGGGAGGGACGGCTTGAGGGACGCGACCGACGCGACGATCAAACTGAAGCGTTCGCCGCCAAACGGTAAGAATACTGCTATCAGATGGGGGCCGGGACGGGGACACGCGCCTAACGGGGACCCCGGCCGCCCCGCCCCGCCTCGCCGGCCTGGACAGGACAGGAGGATGGAGGGTGGCTTCGGCTCAATGTCGTCCCGTTCGGCTTGGTTCGGTTCTCACTCGGGCCGATCCCGATCCGAAGTGAGATTGGGACATTGTTAGGAGCAATAAGGACCCCGATCGGATCTCTGATCGGGCCGGCCGTCGGCGTCGGCCCCCGGCCCGGACAACAGCGGCAGTGAAGGTGGCGGAGAAAGGCCCCAAAGTCGGCGAGGAGTCCCTCGGCCAGGCGCGGCAGCGCCCCGCAGTGCCCCGCGGCTCTCAGCCTGCATGACATTTCAGTTGCTGACCCTCTTTTGTTTCGGGTCCCTCCAAACACGAAACGCGCCACTCAGGCCGAGGACTCCGGAGGACTCCGGAGGACTCCGGAGGACTCGGCCGTCGCCGACGTCATTTGGCCGTGACTCTCCGCGAGGACATCAACGGCTCATAAATGAAAAGGCTTTTCAATAAAACGGCTTGTATTATCTCTCTGGCCTGCTTGGCGCCCCGGCTTGCGCGAGTGCATCCTGTTTTTCTAATTCGTGCATGCTGATGAGGGTCGTCCAGGACGCCGTCCAGGACGCCGTCCAGGACGCGGGCCGCGCAAGGACGCCCCGCGCATGCATGCAGCTTGGCCACGGTGCGCCCGTCGCCCGGCCGCAGCGGATGCCGCGGATGCCGTGGAGAACCTCGCGGAGAACCTCGCGGAGAACCTCGCGGAGAACGTGGAACGCGCTCTTCCCTTTTGGAGCGGCTGCCAGCGGCGCTTGAAAACCTAATCTCAGGAAGGCTGCAAGGTCGCGCGAAGCCCTCTCTCTCTTTATCCGTCTTTCTCCGGCAGGATGATGGTGTAGCGCCACACAGCCCCGAGGATGTGGGGCGCAGGGCGGCGCCACGGCGGCCATACCAAGCGGCCGGACTGCCGGACTCGCCGGGCCGGAGGAAGGACACGAAGGACACTACGGCGCATCCTTGAACGCCGCGGCAAAAAGGGCGCGTTGATCCGGTAGTGATGACTCGGGAAACAAGTACAGCCGACACCAAAAGCCGGCGACACCGAGGGACGAAGTAAGGACGAAAGAATCCCCCGCTGAGAGACACTCTTTCCTCTCTCTTCTGGCGCGGCGCTAAAGGCCGCGGCCGCAACGCGTTTACAATCACATTTTTCTTTCCTTTCTCGTTTTCTTGTCTCTTTTTCGGCCAATTTCCAGCACGCCAATGGCTGCGCCGCCGGAGCGGGCTGCGCGAGCACGGCCTTGCTGTGCTGCCCTGTGCGTGTTTATCCCTCGGCGTCCGCTCCTCCGCCTCAGAGCGCTCTCAGCACTCCGAAGCCTGCCGAAGGAACCCGCGAGGGCCTAAGCACCCCCCACCCCTTTGGCGCCTGTGGCCGTCGCCAACAGATACATGCCGCATGCCTGCATGACACACTTACGGCCGGCAAAGCCAGCATCAGCAACAAGGAGAGGCTTTCAGACGCTAAGCGGCACTGGGCGCGTCGCGTGTGATACTTCACCGGCTCGGCTCGTGTCCGGGCCGCCAGGCCGCCAGGCCGCCTGGGCGGCAAGCCGATTCCACGCGTCGCTCGTGAAACAAATCGGTAGTGCCACACACTCGCAAAAATAAGCGGAGAATGGAGGAAGACTCCGTTCCTGAAGGAAAATGGTTTCGCCGGCTCTGGTTTTCATCCCTGGCCACTACCGCGGCAAACTGCAGATGCTTCTTCGTTTGCCGTTGGCTGGCGGTGAGTCCAATCGTCCCGCGCGCGACTGTACACTGCGATGCACTTGGCAGTGCCGCGGCCTTCGAGATATCGAGATGGATTGGCCGAATGCCGGACGAGGACACCGCTTTGGCCGCGCTTTGCCGCTTTCGCGTTTTCTCGAGTCCGCCTGAGTGATGGCCTCCTTATGGTGGCGTGGCCGCGTGGTGCCGCCGACGTGGACCTGGCGAAGGCTCGGCCGGCCGAGTCTTTGGCTTGTCCTGCTGGCTTCAAAGGGATTCATTCGACTGACTCAATTTCTCTTGGCTCCTCCGAGCACCGCAAGGAAACCAGCGCGGTGAGTCAACTCGACTCGGGGACGTCGGGGACGTCGGCGAGGAATCAATCAAGTACCGTAGGGCCTTCGGCGGCCAGCCGCAGCCAGCGGGGAGGGGCGGCCGGCGGCGCACAGTGGGCCAGAAGACCGGTGGAGGCGGCCAAAATCTCGGACGCGTTTTGAGCCCCAGAGTCGCTAGATGGGACTCGAACCGAACGTGTGACCCCACCAATGGATTGCTCGCACCACGCCGCAGAATGCAACCTGCTTCAAAAGTGGAGAGCGCGCGCACCGCGCACCGCAGTGCACCGCACCTTGCCGATGACGTCGTTGCGGTTCGGCAAAGTGTCTCCCGACCGTAATCCCGACCGTCCGCTCCGCGATGATTTCAGAGTGTCGCGGCGTAGCGCTCTGCACAGGCGCGGTGGGTGAAGCCGTTGTAACGCGGTGCGCGCAAAAAGGCAGCAATAGTTTCGTGCCTTTTACGCGATATTCCATTTGAGCTGTTCGTGTTACGACGGTGCGTGACTCTTCCCGGTTGTTTTGGCGATGGCCTGGCAGAGGGTTGCCGACAGCGCGTGCGGGAATGCGGCGCGCGCGTGGACGACAAGGAGTGCGTATGCAAATTTGGAGCACGCCGATGGGGGCACGCCACTTGGCGACGTTTGGCCTCTTGTTGCTGTTGTTTTCCTGTCGTTGTGGGCAGTACATTCTGGGTCTGGCGGTCTGGTGGGCTACGCTTGGAGAATTTGGCGAAGGCCGAGTGCGGTTGCAGTGCTGCAGTGCTGCGAGCGGATCGGAGCGGATGCCGGTGAAGGGTTGAGTGGAACAAACGTTACTCCGCCTTGTTACTTTTAACTCTGGCCAATTAATAAGTCAACATTCCGACGGACGTGCACACTCGTCGGTTTGGTCGCCTTCCCCGCGAGGCCTGCTTTCTTGGGCAGCGGAACTGGCTGCCCGTAAAACGAATGGAGACACGTGAAACCCCTTTAAAGGGCAGACAGGCCGGGCTGCATTAAAGGACACGAATGCATTTAAAGGCTTTAAAGGGCCGCCCCTTTCAGGCCCGCCGGCACCGAGGCAGCCCAGGGCGACCGGCGACGCGGCGACGCGGCTAACCCCCTCCTGACTCACCTGCCGAATGGGTCCAGCGGGTCCTGGACTCCAGTGAGCCAGCCAAGCCAGCGCGCCCATCCGGGGGCCGCTTGCAGGGGCCACTTCCAGGGGCCCGCGGGTCCTGGACCAGTGCGCCCGGCTGTCGTGCGCCGCACCGTCCGCAGCCTGGCGTGGCCCGGCGGCGTGGACGCCAAGCTCGCCGCGTCCCACTACACACACTGTCACACACCGCGGCGAGGTCGCGTCCTGGGGAAGGCCCTGGAGAGGGTGCACGACGACGGCCGCGTCGACCGGGCGGTGCTGGGGCGTCCGCGGCGCGCTACGCGGTGCGACGCGGTGCTTCGGTTCCGCGGCAGAGCGGATAGCTGACTGGGGCCGCTGGGCCGGGGCCGCTGGGCCGCGGCAGCGCGCCACCGACACCGCACCGGGCCTAGCAGCCGGGCCCAGCCGAGCCGGGCCAGGACGAGCCGGACCCTCTCCTCTCTCTCTCCTCTCCTCACCTGGCGGCCTGGCGGCCTGGCGCGCACCTCCCCGCCCCCCGCTGCGCTGCGCTGCGCCTCGCCGAGGCAAAGGCAGCCGAGGCCCTCGCCGACAGGAATGCGCTGGCGCTGCCAACCTGACGCCGACAAAACGTCCTGGACGCCAAATTGGCCAGCCTGCTGCACAGCCACGGCGCCGCGGCCAGGGCGCACCGAGACCACGGCGTCGCCGATCGGCCGAACTGTCGCCGCGATTTGTCACAGTCGACCTAGTCCAGAGTGTGGTGTGGGCGGACGGGGCGGACGGCCTGGCCACCCAGGAGGCCAATAGGACACGCACCGCTGGGGGCGGCCGGGCGGCAGCGGGAAACGGGTGGAAATAAGTGGGAAACAGGTGGAAATCAGGCACGAACATGTGGGCGTCAACGTCCCTAAAAGGTGGGTAGCAAAAGAGAGGGTAGCAAAGGGTGCCAGGACGGCTGACGGCCAGGACGCACGTCGCAGACTCGCAGACAAGGCGGGAAAGGAATGGGAATCCAGGTCGAGGGTTCGGACTGCGGGACTGCAGCGCGAGCAGCGCCAGTAAATATGCAGTCAAGCAACTCCGCCGATCCGATGCACGGCGTCCACGGGCTGCTCATCGGCCCAGTGTGCGCGCAGTGGTCCCGGCTGGCCGCGGATCCAGATTCCAAGCCCAGCCTCATAAAGTGCGTGTCCTGGCAGCGCCACGGACGCTGCGCGCTGCATGGCCGCGCCCTCGCCGCGCCTAGCCGCGCCGTCATCCGGTCACTGGCATTTGGAGCCATTGACTCACGCGGCGGCGTGGCTCATGACCATGGCGACCAGGCCGCGGACCGATCGGGGTTTCCCCCGCACTGGCTGCCGCACGCTGCAACGCACGCTGCAACGCACGCTGCACCCACATCGCCACATCGCCGCCGCGCCGGTCCAGCGGGGAGACCTGAACGCGCGACACGCGTGGAGGGCCGAGCTGGCCGAGGGGGACTTGGTGGTCTCGCCGTCGTGTTGGTACGTTGGTACCGGTCTGGAGGGGGCACGGTCCGCTAGGCAGCACCGCGCCGCGCCGCGCCAGCCGCACCTGAGAGCACGACCGGAGGGGGGCGGGGTCGGGGGGATCTGGGCAGGGGGCAGGGGGCCCCTGTCGGCCTGACTCGGCCCGCCACGCCGCCCCGCTGCCGCCGCAACAACCAGTGTTGCACCGGCAGTCTCCGCAAGCAGGACCGCGTCGGCCAGGACTCCACCGCGAAGCCCTTCTCGGCGTCCGCGGCGGTGCGCCACGCCGCCACAGGTAACCAAGGTAACCGCGACTACGCGAGTCAGCGTGGCCGCGGCGGTGCGGCCGGAACGCGGCGGGAACGGCAAGACCGTCCAGTCCATGCACAAGTGTAGTGTCCGGCCGATCACCATAATGAGGGTCGTGAAGTCTGTAGGCGATGCTGCTCGTTGGCCGCGGTTGGCACACCTGTTGACCGCTGTTGACACGGGTTGACAGGTTGACAGGTGTCGCCGTTCAGGCCATTCACCGGGCGTCATTGTTAGCGGGTGGCGGCGAGACGTCGGATTTGGTTTCTCCCGCACCTACACTGGTGTCACTCATTGATTGGTCATTCATTTGTTTTGTTTTTTCAGGGGAGGAGGCCGCGGCCACCTTGACCGTCACCATGGTGACCAACGAGATCTCCCTGGAGCTCTGCAACGTCTTCCACACCGGCCAGGTGAGTGGAGCAGCCAACGCGCGCGCGGTTTGGCCGGGATTCGCGGAGTCGCGCCGCGCCGCGTCGCGAGCGCCCCCAGCGGCGCCGCCCCGTTACTAACCCTTCCCCGCGTTCGCGTTCTCTAGGTGGAGCCGGGGACGTGCGTGCAGCGGCTCCTGGGCAGCGTCAAGACCGGCGTCATCCTCAAGGATGTGTCCCTCGAGGTGCACGGCGGGGAGGTGCTCGCCATCCTCGGGTCCAAGGGTACGTAAAGTAATTCAACTGCGGAGGAATCGAACCAGCAACCTTCCGCCCCGATGTCGGTGCCTCTAACCCCGCGGCCGCCTGGCCGCTTTCCTCCCCCAGGCAGCGGCAAGCGCGCGCTCCTGGACGTGATCGCGCGGCGTGAGCAGGGCCCCACGCGCGGCCAGATCCTGCTCAACGGCATGCCCATGTCGCTGCGGCTGTTCCAGCAGAGCTGCGCCTACGTGAGCCACAAGTGCGACGTGCTGCCCGGGCTGACGGCGGAGCAGGCGCTGCACTACACGGCCAGCCTCACCATCGGCTCCAGGGTGTCGCGCTACATGAAGCACTCCCGCGTGAAGCAGGTGCTCGCCGACCTGGCGCTGACGCAGGTGGCGAACCGCACGCGCAGCCAGCTCACGCCCAGCGAGTACCGGCGCCTCACCATCGGCCTGCAGCTCATCCGCGACCCCGTGGTGCTGCTGCTGGACGAGCCCACCTGGGACCTGGACCCGCTCAACACTTACCTGGTCGTGTCCATCCTGTCCAACCACGCGCGCAAGTACGGCCGCTGCGTGGTGCTCACCATGGAGAAGCCCCGGTCCGACGTGTTCCCCTTCCTGGACCGCGTGGCCTACCTCTGCCTCGGCGACATGGTGTACACCGGGCCCACCCGCTTCATGCTGGACTACTTCCGCGGCATCGGCTTCCCCTGCCCGGAGCTGGAGAACCCCCTCATGTACTACCGTACGTCCTCGGTGAAGTAGTCCGCCCCTTTGCTCGCCCCGTCAACGAATACTAAACCACGCTCTCATTGCAGTGTGCCTATCCACCGTCGACCGGCGCTCGCGGGACCGCTTCATCGAGTCCAACCACCAGATCGCGGCGCTGGTGGACAAGTTCAAGCTGGAGGGCACCCCGTTCAGGAAGTCGGCCTCCAGCGGGGCGGTGCTGGGGCTCGGCGACGGCCTCGGTGGCGTCGGCCTGGGCGGCACCCTCACCCTGTCCCCGGTGTCCGGGGTGTCCGGGTCCACGGTGGGCGCCACCAAGGTGCCCCTGTCGGCGTTCGGCCGCCCCTCCACGCCACGCGTCGCTCTGGCCCTCTACATGTAAGCCATGGCTTTGCCTAAAATTAATATTTCAATCATACCCTCGTTCTATTTTTCCTCATTAAAATTTTTTTTTCACCAGGAGGTGCCTAGCAAGCACGTTCAACCTGCAGGCCGGCTCGGTGACAAGGCTGGCCTCTCGTCTCCTCCTCCTCCCCCTGTATTTTTGTGTACTCTGGCTATTTTATCATGACAAGAAGGTAAGACACGCCTAAAAAAAGGCAATATAGCTGAAATTTTATGCCGTCAGTTTATGTGTGTTTCTTGTTGCAGGCTTTCCAGCATACTTTCGTAACAAGCAGCGGTCTAATTTTCAATATGCTTGCTGGGACTTATTTCATCTCAGTCATTAACACTATTTTCACATGTAAATGTCATTTTTTTTCTTAATTCTTTTTTACTCGTTCTTTACAAAAACCAAAAAAAAGCTATCACCTAAAGAGAACGAGTATTGTGCTCAACAGAGAAATGTGGTGATGTGGTTCATCTCGAAATCTATTACACATAAAGCCCCCATATTCACATGATTTGATACATTTTGTTATTGCTAACAACAATACTATGAGGTTTTTTTTCAGTTTCTATGTAAAATTTTGAGAAAATCGAGTTTGAATGGCAGAAATGATGAGTGTAGAAAATTGTGTTACAAGCAGCTTCTGTTGCACATTTCTCAGTGAAAATGAAGATAAAGCAACACTTTTTGGTGATAAATTTAAAGCTTAAAGTGCGATTAGAAAGTTCTCTAAGAGGTTTTTTCTTATTATTTATCTAAAAAAGAGATATAGAAGGTTTACAGATTGAAGTAATGGGTGTTTTAAAGTGATTGTAACTTCATAATATTTACCCATAAGGTATGTTTATAAGTAAATCAAAGTTAAAATTAAACATGTATAACCATTTGGTGTTAAAGTGACTAAGTTTTGTCAACATAAAAGGAAAGATATCGCTTTATACCATAAATTTGAGGTTAATGGTCATAAGGAGGTGTGACGATGGCGCCATCTATTGAGACAATAATGAGTTGAATTCTTTTGTTCACCACCTTGAACGAGACTAGGGACTTCCCGCCAAAGGCGGAAACCAATCACGATGCTTGAATGTCAAATTATTTTAAAACCTTTTTGGAGGGCAAAAGAGAATTTATGATTTGCAGATGTCTACTTCACTTGATTTCAAAACGCACAAACTCATCTCTCATTTGTTTCTGGTGAACCACATATTGTAAAGAACGAGTCCTCCATTAATATCAAATACTTTTGATATTCCACAGTTTTTTTTTCTTCTCATATTCCTTGGCTTCTTGTTTTTTTTTTTTACAAAGCGTTTTGATATCTTTTTTTGTTTTTATAGTTCCAGCTCATCGAAACAGATACTACCAAGAGGCTCAAGAGGGCCTGTACTCGGGTCCCCTATTTCTCCTGAGTTATTTCTTGTTCTCGCTGCCATTTTCTGTTCTATCAGTGATTGCTGGTTCCAGAGTGGCATTTGAGTAAGTAAACACGTAGCACTTTTTTTTTTCAAAGTTGTGTTTTAATTTCATTTAACTACTACATTCTGACCTATTAGGATGTCTGGTCTAACGGATCCCTGGGACTGGGTGAAACTGGGATGCATAATGTGGGGATGCTACACTCTTGGTGAACAGCAAACTGTAGCCCTCCTCGTTGTGGTGAAGCACTCTTTTACTGCTGCTGTGGCCAGTATAACACTTTGTGCCCTAGGCCTTGTGTTGTCCAGTGGTGTGTTGAGGTATGTATACATTTATGTAATCCTGCAATCAGAAGGACCACCCAGGACAAAAAGTGAAACCTTTTTATCCCTCTTTAGATCAATTCGTGGATTGTCGGAGTGGCTGCTCTACATAACATATGCTAGTCAAACCAGATATGCAGCCGCGTATCTCCATCGGCAAATGTTTAGCCACTCTCATTTCAGTGGTCTGGCAAGAGACGCTACATCAAACTGTTCACTTGCTCCAGGCACAATTCAAACCCAAGAGTCACTCTCTGCAGCATCTGCTAGTTTTGGCTGCCGCTATGCGGATGGGTGGGCTTTCTTGGCTGAGAGGTTTGGTCGAGAAAATGCAGAAGATTCAGCCACACTCACAGCCTTTCTGGAGTTGGATTTCAATATGGGTGTGACATTTGCCTTTGCACTGGGTCTTACAGTGATTAATTGCCTTCTTTATCTGGTGCCGCTACCAGCGTTTGTTAAGGCCAAATTTCGTGAGTAAAGCCAATCAGTACTCCTCTTATTTAATTTACAGTATTATAAATTATTGCTATTATGTGTACCTACATATTTAAAATAAATTTATTGCTAGTGTTAAGAGTGTGTATTTTCTATTATGTCCAAAACCTCAGACTTTCTCAATTCAGGATTGCTTCAAGGTAAAAAATGATGGCAACATGTAAAAAAATATTATTTCTATTCTTGTTTAGCAGCCTATTTTTTTATACAATTGTTACACAGTAAAATAGGTTCAAATAAAAGTAAAAATATAACAGTCATAATAGTTCTTAATCCAACACCAAGTTCGTACAAGTAAGTAGGACATTTAAAATTACACAATCAAACAAAAATAAATTCATTAGCACATGAATGTCTATTCTGCTTTCTTGTTCACAAGTACAAATAAAAGGTCAAACAAAATTTTCATAAATATACCTTTATACTTAAGTACAAGAACTTAAAAACGCACATCAGTCATCTTAAAAAGAAGACCAGTGGAGACATTAATGCAGATCTAACATGGCACTTATAACAGATAAGATGGAAATAAAACCAACAAATCTTTCTTATACAAAAATAACGGGCTCACAGATGGCTTGTACTGGTAGGAAAGGTTTTAGAGGCTGTCATAACATTGCTCAGATCAATTATTCAGGAACAGCTATTTGCTGCATGGGTTTCAAGTCTTCTGCAACAGCAAAGTCACAACCAGTAGAAGCCATTATATCTGGTACCTCGACACCTTCAGCAATCTCTATTAATGTAAGACCACCTTCTTTGTCCACAGAGAACACAGCCTGGAAAAAGAAATGCAGCTTGTCATGTCCCATTCAGTAGCACATACAAATCTCAGCATAAATTAAAAGAAAAAAATTTACCTTTTCTGTAATAATAAGATCAACACAATTTCTGCCTGTCAATGGGAGCGTGCATTGAGGAAGAATTTTATGTTCACCAGATTTGCTTGTATGTTCCATGCAAACAACTACTTTGGTGTCACTTGCAGAAACAAGGTCCATGGCACCACCCATACCCTTGACCATCTTGCCCTGTGTAAATAGTAATAACAATTAACAATAAAATAAGTACTGTCAAAATTTTAACACTTAAGTATGAGTAGCATTAGAAATATGAAATCTCTTACAGGAATCATCCAGTTGGCTAGGTCACCATATTGAGATACTTGCATAGCTCCCAACATTGTCAAACTGATGTGGCCTCTGCAAAAATTAACAAATATAAAAAAAATTGTTTAAGAAAGAATGAAATTCTCTTGCATCATAATGCTGTTACACATCCAAGCACCACTCACCCTCTGATCATAGCAAAACTGTCGTCACTGCTGAAGTACGATGCACCGGGAATAACAGTAACAGTTTCCTTACCGGCGTTTATGAGGTCAGCATCTACCTGGTCTTTTGTGGGGAAAGGACCAAGACCAAGAATACCGTTCTCACTTTGAAGGGTCACTCGCATGCTAGGGGGAATCATATTAGAGGCCAGCATAGGCATGCCAATTCCAAGGTTTGCTGAAGAAAAATTGTGTTAAGGAAAATTGCCAACATATGAGAACAGTGCAGACGCGAGATGTGGTACAGGCCTACGGTAATTAAGATGCTGTAAAGGATACCATACATTCCATCTTTGAATTCACAAGCAGCTCTTCTGATAATTCTTTCTCTGAGAGCTGCAGCTGGTGTTTGAGCGATACCAGACTTCGACTTGGCTTTCTGAACAGTTACCCTCTGGAAAATTGATTGTAGTGTTAAAGTATGAACCAAATGCCTTGACAGTGACAAAAAGTAACAGCAACATAAGAAAGATTTTACCTCAATTCTTTTTTCATATTTTTCTCCCTTCACAATTCGTTTTACAAAAACACCCGGAAGATGGATCTCATCAGGTTGCAGCTGCCCAACAGGGACAATTTCTTCCACCTCAACAATGCCTATTTTGGCAGCTTTGCACATGACTGGGTTGAAATTACGAGCAGATTTCCTGTAAAAGGAATCATATACATTATCAATTCACAAGGTTGAATACACTGCCATATGACACAAGAAATAACTTTAGTGGAAACAAACCTGAACACTAAGTTTCCATCCTCATCAGCTTTCCATGCCTTGACTAAAGCAAAGTCTCCAGTAATGGCTTCCTCCATAATATAGTCCTTGCCATTGAAAGTGGCTGACTGGCGAGGCTCACTAGCAATTTCTACTTTGCCAGCGCCATCATACTTAATGGGAGCACCTCCTTCATGAACAAGGGTGCCAAATGCTGTTGGAGTAAAAAATGCGGGAATGCCTGCTCCACCCGCCCGTATGCGCTCAGCAAGGGTACCCTGAAAACAAAAAAGCAATTAACTTACTTGGTATCAAAATCAATGAACTAGTGGCCGTTAAAACAGGCAATCAAAATCTGAATTATTTGTTTTTTACCTGAGGCGTGAGTTCTACTTCCAGTTCTCCACTGAGGAACTGACGTTCAAATTCAGCATTTTCTCCAACATAGGATGCAATCATACGCTTGATTCTATGCGCCTTTAGAAGTAATCCAAGGCCGAAGTTATCAACACCAGCATTGTTGCTAACGACAGTCAGGTCTTTGACGCCAGCATCCAACAAGGCTTGAATGAGGTTTTCAGGTATGCCACATAATCCAAACCCTGATAGAGAGATAAGAATATTGTATTCTACACCCGAAACAAAATTATTGACTGTCATCAGGCATCATTCGCTTACCACCAACAAGAAGTTTAGAGCCATTTTCAATATCTTTTACAGCTTCCTGGGCAGAACTGTAAATTTTCTTACTTCTTGCCACTGCTGTACTTGAAAATGAACATGATAAAACCTGAAAATGAATGATAGGTGGATTATTTCAGTTTCCTGTACTCATGAAGATAGTAATAATATGCAAATGTAGTAAATGGTGGGAATGTTATCAGATTATTTTGTTCTAAAACTTGAAACAAAAAGAACTTATTTTGTTCTAAAACTTGAAACAAAAAGAACTTTGATAAAATTAGAACTGTAGGTAATTGTTGAATAATTAGTCAAACTAGAAACATTTTACTAAAATATGAATGAATGGGACCTTAACCTACAATCCATGAGGATAATAGTCAATTCACTTTTGTAAACGCATAAAAAGTGAACCGAAACATAAAAACTACTTACCCTACACGAATTAAATAGTACAGGATGAGTGACTTTCGCTTGACATAGAGATCTAATCAAAAAAGAACTAGCAATATTCAACACTGGGGCCATGGTGAGATGCTCTTCGAACGACAGACGAGACAGCCAACGTTACCGGTGAAACTCAAAACGTAAAATCGTCAAAGATGATTGCAACACTGATCCACAGAGCTGGTGAGCCAACTGATAAAGCTTTGAGCTCGGGCGTGTCTCTGAGATAGGATGTTCACTGACAAACAACGCACGACAAAATAAACACTGTAAACAGGTTTCCCGTCCGAGGCAACTTGCCAACTTCTGGAGAGCCAATGAGAGCCCGGAGACGGGTCGAGCCTCCGCGGGAGGCGGGAGGGAGGGACGGATCTAGTAGTTGCTTGTTGCGAACGCGAGTGTGACTTCGCGAATCAGGAATCACGTAGTGTACTGTATGTGCAAATCACGAGCATAGGCGCTCAGTGGCAGTGGCTTGTGTCGGGCCATATGCCCTGCTGCATGCTGCTTCATTCAAGGTTTTTTTTTTTTTTTTGGGTCCTTGAGTATAAATAAAGTAAAAAGATGTAGCTGGTGGAAAATTTCTTTGTTTTTTGCCTTTCTTTTCCCCCCACTTTGAGCAGGGTAGATTACATTTTACATTTGACGTTCTAATACATTCATCTTGTTTTCAAACCTAGTACTATGTCACTAACATGGCGTTCAAATTTTTCAGATGCATACTAATAATTAAAACTACGTTTAACTTGAGTAGCTCCTAAAGAATCTTGTGAACTTTCAACAGTGTCAAAACAGTTGCATTCTAGACACATACACTATACACACATGAATGATTAAAAACCACGAGTAAATGTATCAAAAAGCATTCAAGGAATATCAAGAAAAGTTTTCTAGCCTTAGTTCATATAGATTTGAGAATTTTTGCTGAGATTTACCTAAATAAAAAAATCATACGAATTCAGAAACAAGAAAAATCAAGTGTAATCTAGCTCAGCTTAACAGAAACTTGCCTATAAAGAAAAGCAAGGCAAAAAAGAATGACAATGCCAACAATCCAGTCCAAGGTATGACTGAAATTTAAAAGAAAATAAGAAATAAAATACGCCTTTTTCTCTTTGACAAAGACAAAAAAACACCACATGACTAGCTGGTTAAGTTTCACATCACTTAGAACTAAGATCAACCACATAAACTCACTGTATCACTTCTACAACCTTAAACTCTACGGAATGAGCATATTGAGCATGTGAATGAAATTTTAGTTGGGAAATCCGACAGCAATGATGTCACCAGAGAAAAGAATCATATCCTATCTTACAGTTCAAACACTACCACTGGAACATAAAAATGAGAACGCTTCCTGATTAGGCAGTATGGTAACTATACCAAAATCTCTGCTCACATCCTAATCTCACATCAACACCTTGCATAGTAAAGCAAATCATGATATGCACAAAAACATACAGACTACAATAACATTTAGAAATCTGGGATACCAATATGGAATTACAATAAATTATTCTATTTTGTACAAAGCATATTTAAAATTTGAAATATTGAAGAAAAACCTTTGGTTCTTTGAAAACACAAAGCACACTAAGTTGCAGACAAGGTAAGCATGCACCTAGTGCTGTATGGCTTTTTGATATGAAATATTATTCTAATTGTTTTTTTTTTTTAGTACAGCCAGAGTGCTAAAAATGACAGAAAGAAATTACTACATTAATATTTTTTGTGTTTGTTGTTTTGTTCCAAGGGTAAGATAAGTATCGTTCACTACAAAATATTTTTTAAGCCAAAATTGATTGAAATAGCAAGTAGCAAAGTTTCCTTCAAGTCCTTTTTATACCCTGACATAAACTTAGATTTCAATGGTCTCATTAACAAAGTCTCATAGCTTACTTTCCCACGGCTCAAAATAAAATGACATTCAGTACCTTTGTCTGCCACAGCAACCTCATAGGGGCACTTGTGCATCGGTTTCCAGAATATGACCAATTATGATTTTGTGCAGACGGAGAACTTATCTGAGTAAGTTCATCAGACCCCTGAACCCAAAGGGTCCTCACCCTTCCACAGAAGAAACAACCATAAGAAGAAAAATATCACATCATCAGTCATGGATACAAAACATGAACACATAAAAAAATCTCGCATCAAGAGACAGTCAGGGAAGATTCAGAAGGTAAAGTAAGTTGATATAGATAATGATGTTATACTGGCTAAAGCACTCTGAAAACTAGGAAATAATAATTCCAAACAAGTTCTAAAAAAACTACTTCTACAATCGGGTGGTACGATAGGTGCATGGGATTGAGAAGGCCTAGGCCCTGTCGGGGGCGGGGCCACACTTCTTTCTTGTCATCTGTTGCGGTGGTTGAGCCTCGCGCCCCGTCCGCGGCCTCGCCGCTGGCGGCCGATGCTACGCTGGGTGCCGTTGCCGTCCACGCCGTCCTCGTCTCCGTCTTCCTCCGGCTTGGTCGGCGGCGGCGGCTTGGGGAGCCTCGGTTGCTGCGGCGGACGGCCGTGGCCGTGGCCGTGACCGTCGCGCTGCTGCAAGGCGCGCTGCCTTTGCCTCTCTTGCTGCTCTATCTGCCGCTGCCTCCAGCGAGGAGTCTCAGGCTCCTCCTCTGGAGTTGCCTGGAACACCAAGTGTCGTCATCACAAGAAATCCACTGGGCTGCTAGTGAAAAAATAATAGCTGGCACGTTAAACTAAGAATAAGAATAGGAAGCAGTGCAACAAAAATGCAACAAAATTTAATGGCCTCACCATCTCAGAGTTGGTGCAACTTTCACCAAGGCAATTTGACTGACTCGTTGAAGAGCCTACTAAATTTTGAGACACACTTTTTATAACTACATAATACTGGAACAAAGCACAGAAATACAACAAAAAATAAATAATAACAAGAGGAAAAAAAAGACAGTACATCAAAGAAGAAAAAAAAGCGCAATCAAAATAAAAAAGATAAATTGAAAGTAGTGGAACAAACTACCTCTATCATGCAACAAAAATAACTAAGAAAACTCGAAAACACAAAAAAATAAGTGAAAATCAACTAAGAAGTGGACATGCATGAACAGTATTGAAGAAAATGATCTTACTGGTTCATTTACAAGAAGCACTTTATTGTCGGCAGCATCAGGATCAATGATGCCACCCTTTTCTTTCTGTTGAATGTATAAAGCACTCATATAATCCTGCATTTCACGTAGCTTTTCATCTGGCTCCATGATGGATGCATTTTGCACAGCAAGGGGCAATGAGGCTTTAGAAAGGGTCTCAACATCACATTTGATAGGTTCTCTGCATATTGGACACAGCACCTATAAGAAAGAAAATCAAAATAACATGCTAAGGGTAAATGATAGATGAACAATCAGTTATTGCCTATTGCTGATTAGAATTAAAATGTTAACAGTACTGATGGACCCATGTGGAAATGTGGAATACCTCAAAAGTTTTTGATCGCTGAAAGTGAGGAAGCTTTTCCTGTTCTTCATTAAAGAATTTCTCTGTTTTCGAAGCATGTTGAGCCAAGCAGTGGGCATGGTAATAGTGGTAGCAGGATGTTTTGATAAAGTGGTCTCCTTCAGAAAACCCATAAAGACATATGGTGCATGGACAGGCAGGTAAATTACTGCTGGTGAGATGCTCGCGCACCAACTGTTAATAGACAATGAGGGAATATAATTTAGTAACAATCAAAATGTAATAGTGTCATAATGTCATCAAATCAATATGCCCATGCAAAATAATTACCTCAATTAAATCATAGATCACAGGATCACCACAGCAATTGTTGCATTTCTCCTCAATTTGTTCCATAATAATCCTAAGTTGATCATCATCCAGTCCTCTTGGATTCCTTAAGAACACTTCAGGAGCGTTGTCAGGGTAGCCTGGTGTTAACTTCACTTCCAAGGTAACACGGACATATTGTTGATCTGTATCGTCAGCAGTGGCTGGGAACACCACAGCCTCCACAGCATATGGAATACCACTGTAAAAAAAGCAAGTTAATATAACTAGTTAAACAGCTTCATACTTCTTAAATTTAACATTAGAATCACTTAAAGCAATTGCCTGAAAACGAAGCAAAAACAGCTACTTACTTGGGCGCGCTTTTAATAGAAACATCATCCATTAGTATGGCTTCTAAGGCTTCGACTTCCTCGGTAACTCTGAAAAGGAAAGAAAAACAATTAACGTTCTTTCCTTGAGAATTGTGCAAGAAAATGAGCTTGTAAATAGAAGAAATGATCAGACACAAGCTGACACTACTGACACTACCCTAACCTTAAGAAATAAAATTTGGTTCATCTGCAGTTGTTATAGGAAACGGCTAACTTACCGTTCGTCTACAGTCTCCATAGTGGTTTCGAATTCACGGAACTACACGGAAAAATTTGACGGTATAGGAAGCAATTCGTGAAACTGTCACAGGCAATACGACGACCTAGGCAGACGACTTCTTCAGCTGTTTCTTGTTTTGCCCAGGGTTTTGTTTTTGAGTACGGTGGTGCCGAATAGTAACCTGAACCTGAATCTGTAACACCATGAAACCACTCGATTCCTGTTTACTCCATTTCAATTATGTAAAATTAAAATTTTGGCCCAAAGTCGCAAAAGAATTTGAACCATCTTAATAAAATTCAATTTCAAAGGCTACGCTTTAGTCTATGACGTTTTCTCCTTCGTAAACCAGTTTGACCATTTTGACCGTTGGGTGTGTTCCCTGCAAAACAACACTTTCATCGTCGTTGTCAAGTCTTGTGTTGTGTCATGGATTGACCGATTGATGCAAAAGATTAGATTACGAACAATTTAATCTTTGCACCCTTGTCAAACGTAAAATCCTTACATCTTGTCTCCGCGTTAAAGTGGAAAATGTCGGGCTTCGACGAAAACCCGTTCAGTGAACCAACTATCGACAATCCCTTTGAGGTAGGTTACATTTTAAATGATTTTTGCATTTGTTTGGAATAAAGCAATATGACTGCAATTTATTAGTCATCTTCATATCTTTCTTTGTCATGGCATGCTCACGGAACGGCGTATTAACGTTATTTGTGGATCCCCCTCTATACTTTTTATTTTCTCTTCTGTTCATCGGAACATCATTTACCTGTTACATGTCTTCCTTAGATTAAAGCTTGACGTTGCTAATCGTTTCACCATTTATGTTGTTTAGTAAATGTTCAATCATTCCAGATTGCGCCTTTTTCACCTCGCTCTAGTGTTACCTTTGTTTCAACTACAACTCAATTTGCAACATATGCCATGGCCTTTCTTATACTTTTCTCTGCATTTTACAGGATCCTGCTGTGCGTCAAGTCACTACATCCACCAATAATGCTCAGCGAGGGCTTGAGGATTACAATCCTTTTGAGGATCAGCAACCCCAACCGGTAAGCAGCCAGTTGTTTGACACTTTGGTTTGCCTCCATCTATTTCATCTAACTTTTCTCGCTCCCTTCTGCACAGAAAATGATGGGCGGTGGTGCTGGTGGTGCAACAATGTTTCGCCCTCCCACAGCTCAATCTGCTATAATGCAGCCTTCGCAAGAGGCAACTCCACCACCTTCATACAACCGCAGTGCTCAGCAGACACAGATGACTACAGCTGAGTTCCAGGTATGTTAAATTCTTAGCTTGATAACCTGTGACTTCCTGCCAAATATCATCAAAACTTGCAAATTTTCAATTTTTTCCATGCAATCCTAGCTGGAACTACAGGTAAGAAAGATTTCTTACTGGCTGGAAATAACCAAAATTTCCTTTAAACCTTTGTGTTATTTTAGACTTTCAGCTTGATTTTGATTATTTTGATACAGAAAATTTGTCTTGCCCATTCTACCCTCAAAAGTTTGAATGTTAATCTATTTTCATTTCCTTAATTTTTCAGCGACGTCAGGAAGAGTTAGAAAAGAAGGCTCAAGAACTTGCACGTAAAGAAGAAGAACTGAAAAATGCCCCATACAATGGTCGGTGTCAATGTGTTTGCTCATGTTATGTCGTCCCCATATGTTATCTTGTGGTTTTCTTTTCATGAATTCTTTTATTAACAGTTAAAAGAAATAATTGGCCACCGCTCCCTGAGAAATGCTGCTTCCAGCCCTGCTTCTATCAAGATATTGCTGTTGATATTCCCCATGAATTCCAGAAAATTGTGCAACAGCTTTACTATGCTTGGATGTGTAAGTAGTTTTGTGATTCATACTCACTATTTTCATCACACATTTGTCATTAATTACTGTTTTTTTTTCTTTTGCAGTCCACAGTTGTGTGATGGTCCTCAATATTCTGGGGGGCTTGGCTCTGTTATTCAGGGCTGGTGATTTTAGCACATTTGGTTTGGGAATCTTGTACATGATGTTGTTTGCCCCAGTTTCCTTTTTGTGTTGGTTTAGACCAGCATACAAAGCATTCAGGTAACATCATTAACCTTAAGTTACAGTCTGAAGAGTCCAGAATGACATAATCAGTAACTATTTTTATTTTGTTTTGCACAGGAGTGACAGTTCTTTCAATTTCATGGTCTTTTTCTTTGTTTTCTTCTTTCAACTTGTGGTCACTTCTATTCAAGCCATAGGTATCCCTGGATCAGGGACATGGTAAGTTAGTTTCCAAGTGCTAGTTTCAGTTTACATGCCTTTCAAAGCTACCCATGATCTCAATTTTACTTTTTGTTATTGTTTTCAGTGGAATTTTGACAGCTCTGAAGTCATTCGATAAGTCGGCTTCAGGCATTGCTGTTGGAATTATCCTTCTAATTGTGGCTTGCGGATTCATTGGTGCTGCTGTCATGGACCTTCTGTTGCTCTCCAAGGTTTGTGTTTTGTTTTGATTATGATTTTCTGCCCAGCTATTGAATGTTTTACATGTGTAAGGTCCACTAAAAAGTGCATGTCCCTTTCAGATTCATCGTATCTATCGTAGCACTGGGGCTAGTTTTGCTAAGGCTCAACAAGAATTCACTAATGGTATTCTAAGCAATGAAACCGTTCGCAGTGCTGCCAGTGATGCTGCTGCAGCCACTGTTCGTGCCCAGTTGTCCCAGCAGACATCTAGTCGTTACTAAATGTTTGTTCTGACTGTACACTGGAAATGCAGTATTCCTATCATTTTCAGTTCCACTTGTTACAGTTTACATTATTTCTCTTCATTCTGTTATCTGCTATTGTTTCGATCTGGTCAGTTGCTTTTATTTTGAAACATTTCCTTAGATTTAATGGTTACTTCATTTCACTTTGTTTTACCCCAACGTTGAGAGAAAAGAAACTTTTGTATTTACATGCTGATACTAATTGTTCACTACTAGTAACATTGGTATTTTAATTTGTTACTTTGGTATTCTGTCTGTCCAAAGTGAAAAAAAAAATAGGTCTTCTTGTGTTTCTTGAGGGAGTATGCATCTGTGTTTGATGACACAGAACAGCAAACTTGCTTTGGCACATCTTTGCATGGGTTAGCAGTTGATAAACTGGAGCTTTAATTATTAAATTATTAACTACTATGTACGCAGGCCTATTATATATGAAGGTCATTACTGACGAATTTGTTAAAGTATCAAAAGCTTTCCTATTTAGTTGTCCTTTTCTTATATTGTGATGTAATTTTTATTGTGTCAAATGTTAACTGTTATATCTGGTCAAATTTATTTGTTAAAAGCTTATGGACATTGTTATATTTCTCCCTGATACTTTCATTAAATGTAAGCCAGTTTTTCCAGGTTTTACATTGTTAGGTCTTGTTGCTTTCTCCTTCATGAAATTATTGTCTAATTGTTTGGTGCCATTCATAGTTGGCAGGTATTTTTTTCCAGTTTTGTTTACTACCAATAACTTGACCTCCCCTTACTCCTTACCATGGAGAATAGAGGGGATGGAGGACCGGCTGGGCCGCCTGGCGCCTGCGTTTTGGACTGCCGGCCGCGCCCGGGGGGTTTGGGAGTACGCCGCGCGGCCACCACGCGGCGCTGCGATCGCTATGCCTCCATTTTGGGCCGCGCCACAGCACAGCGTAGAGCCTTCAGACCACTATCTTTACTCACTAAATTGTCCGAAATCGACCCCTTTCTGGAATGTCACTTTGAGTTAACATTTTATATGGGCTCCGAAAAGGTCCAGGGACAAGGCCGAATATACTTTTCCAGCGTACAATGTAAGTTTCTTCATGATAAAGCCTCATTGTCTTGTGGCCAAGTGCATGGGATCTCTGATGCAAGAAATTGGACAAAGTTTTTGACTAAATTTTTTTGGGTAAATTTATTGATGAGTTTAAATCAGGATGCACTTCAATTTAAAACTATTAGTACCTCACTATTACCAATCCCAAACATCCACAAACTGGAACATGATCTGGTGAGGTGTTTTTTGGGCTGATAAGACAAATTAGTTAGTACTCTCAACCAAAGTTTTACTTAGAATTTTCCCGACTTCTCTTCCTTCGATTCTCTTGGAAAACTCCAGATTGGATGTAATATAACTGGAGGATAAATAGGCTGTTTAGCGGAAGAGCAAGCTAAGTCAATTTATACAACGCTTCACTTTCACCAGGACCCTATTCTCAAAAATATTTAAAATAAAGTAGTGTAACATTTTTTTATTATGATTGCCATCAGAGGGCTTGGTTACATGTGCAAAATTAGGCCACTCATAGAAGAGCTTAGACTAGCCTTTTAAAGCCAGAATTCTGATTCTTCTTGAGTTATGCATATTTACGCAAAAAATAGGTTGTTGCGTAAACCTTTATAACTTATGAATGATTGAGAGTTCAGGGTTCAAACTGTGGTCTGATTTCAACTGATAGAAGGCCATTCCATCAAAGTCAAACAATTTTTTTGGTGGGATAGATAGCTATCTGCACAGAAATATTTTGATAAACCATAATTATAGTGTAAATAGTCACCAAAAAAGTGAATACATGTTAAATTACTACTTTGGTGATGTATCTGAAATTTTACTTTGTTCAATAATATATCTTTAAATTTCCCAAATTTGTGAGGCCAAAAGCTTGCTGTAATTGCATGCACGCTGGGGCCGCTGACTTCAAAGCAGGAATATCCACTTACGTGGCACAATATTGCACTTATATTGTTCCCATATTGTTTTTTTCCCTAATTCTACTCATATTAACTGGGACAAAACGGGGATATACTCTGATTAAACCTTAAAATGCAGCCATTCCACGCTGGTTTACATGAGTTTCCCTAAGGACCCGGCGGGAACCAACCCAGAGTGGAGGCCCTAGCGATCGCAGCGCCGCGTGGTGGCCGGGCGGCGTACTCCCAACCCCCGGACGCGGCCGGCAGTTCATTTCTGACTCGCAGCCGATCCTCCATCCCCTCTATTCTCCATGCTCCTTACTGGAGAGTGAGTGTTCTTTCAAAGTAGTGTGTATTTATTATGTGCATGCGCAGTTTCAAAGTTTGATCTCAAAAGATTTGTAGTACAGTCTATGTTGTGAAAGAGAAAGCGCAGTGTAAGTTAATCTGCATAGGACATGTTATTTTTGATGACTGATAGAGCATCATCTACATTATGTGATTTAGCCATCGACATTTGTGATGCCCGACTTGACAAGAGAGAAGTTTGAAATTAATTGTTTAGCTTTAGATCCATTGTATAGAATTCATACAAGCTGCTTTTTCTACTTCAAATCTGTTATATTTTCTTGTTTTCCCCACTTAGCATTGTACTTAGCCTTTTGGGTTGTATGCAGTCTGGATTTCAGGATTTTAGTGATACCTGGAACATTCACTAGCACTGCTCATCTACCTTACAGTTTATATTTAGTAGTTCTTGGCTTTAGCATGTTTATGTCCTGCTTGGTTTTCCATCTTGAATTACATTTTATTTGTTTAATCTGTCCCAGTTGTGCTGCCTGGCATTACCAGTGTGCATTCATTTCAGGCTTAGGAATGTTTACATGCATTCACTTTCATCTAAATAGTACCTATCATTAAAATCTCAATTGAATATTCCATCCATTATAATTTGTAATCAGTACTGACAAATCTTATTAAAATTATATGAACCACTTTTAAAGCTTCTGTAACTACTCCTGCGCTGTGAGAAATTCAGATGCCACCAATGCACTGAATAACTTGTAACTAGGTAAAAAAGAAAATGAAGAGAGATTTCACTTTTTTTTTTGTTTATTAGTTTCTAGATTTAGAATAATCACTTCTTGGCAGCAGTTGGGCCACTCTGTGCTGAGGATTTTGAGTCCCTCATGGAAGCTGACCGCCTTCTCTTGATCTCCTCCTGCTTGCGGACCTTAGCCTCCTTTTGGCGCTGAGCCAACAACTTGGCGTAGTCAGCGGCCTGTTCCTTGCGCTTCAGGCAACGCTTCTTCTTCAGAGCCAGCAGGTGTCTCTTGCGCTGCAAGGGGGAAACAAATATTGATCATTTAAAAACACAGTTAAATGCTGCTAACTGAAGGGCTCTGCTTATATAGCAAGGGACAACAATACGCATCAAAATGACCTGATGTAACTTTTAACTAAGTTTACACCAAATAGAGTGGAGTGAGGTGGAAAGGAGTAGCAATGCTCCCCAATGAACTTCGATTACTAAACATAGATACTGAGGAGCACAATCTGGTATCATGGGTAGAAAGTCGTTGTGCATTTAATCCATGAGTCTTGTTGCTACATCAATAACACTACACTCATGAAGAATGAAGTGGGGTAAGAAGCAGCAATGATTTACCATGAGATATGATCATACTCAACAGAGAAACTGAGGAGTACTACCTGGTATCATGGGTAGAGAGAAGTTGATGCATTTAATACATGAATCTTGTTGCTACAACAATAACACTACAACCATGGAGAATGAAGTGGGGTAAGAAGTAGCAATGATGTGCCATGAGCTATGATCATACTCAACAGAAAAACTGAGGAGTACTACCTGGTATCATGGACAGAAAGCAGTTGTGTATTTAATACACAACTACTACTACTATAAGTACACTACACCATCAAGAATAAAGTACTGCCTCAAACAATGGACAGAAAGTAGTTGTGTATTAAACACAAGACTACTGTAAGTACTACTACAGCATAAAAAATAAAGGGGGGATATTAAAAACTATTTGCCATGAACTAGGAACAAACTCCACATAGAATCTGAGGAGAACTGCTTAGCATTATGGAAAGGAATAGGACACAGCACTATTACCAATGAAAATATTGTCTCAAAGATTATTCTAGGATGAAATGATTGGTACTTTGCTGGAGAGCCAGGTGGTAACTAAACTCTAAGTCAGGACATGAGCACCTACCTGGAGAGTGAGGGGAGTAATGAGACGCTGGATCTTGGGGGACTTGAACTGCTGCTTCTTGCCTTCCTTCAAGGGAAGAGGCCTCTTGATAACGTAGTGACGGACATCATCCTTGTTGGTCAAGTTGAACAGCTTACGGATCTTGCTGGCCCTCTTGGGTCCCAGGCGACGGGGAATGGATTTGTCGGTCAGGCCGGGAATTTCCTGAAATAAGCAGATATGGAAATGAAGCCAACTGAACAAGGGAATGAGCACATAATAAAGTGACAACTTAATTACACTTCTTACCTGTTCACCCTTGCGGACAACAACGAGTGACAGCACACTGAGGTTGGAGTCGACAATGCATCCACGGACTGACTTCCTCTTCCTCTCACCATCACGACGAGGGCGGTAGCAGGAGTGACCCTTGGACAGCAAGAGCCTGACACGACCTGTATAGAAAACCATTGAAAATTTAGACACTATAAAATACATTCCATACTCAGGAATCATTCAAGGTACATTGCTCATCTCCCTTTCAAGGATCTCATCAAGTCTCCTACTATTACAGGGGACTAGAGATTAAAATCCATTCACCTTTAAACACACTGAATTATGACAACTGTGTCTACTTGACACTGAGCAAGACCCACCAGGGAGATACCCAAATCCAACAGTAGATT